GGGAGCATATCCTAGGACACCCTATCGGCAGTCTTTCTCTACTAAGAAAGGCGTACTAAGAAACAGACAAAAGGAGGCTCTCCTCGGAGGGGAGGCCCCAGGACCCTCAAAGATAAGCTGGTACCAATGAGCTCACACTACGCCGGAACTACAATAGCTCCTCCGATCCAAAATATGCTCCATGGCCCCCGTTTTATATCAACGTTCACATAAAACTCAATTTTTCGAAGCAGCCTTTTGCCATTTGGTTTTTAAACTGCACTGCAAGAGCAGCATTTAACAAGGTCTTCGAGCAGAGCGATGTAAGATGTCTTTTTTCTCTGATCAACCCCAGGGGGTAATGCAAGATTGAAACTCTCGCAAAGGAGTTTTAATATGCAAGTTTGAGATTTTTGAGTGTTACTCTCGACCATGGAACAGATGTTGCACCGTTGGTAATGAATAGGGTGAGTTACATTTAACTGCTTAAAGATAGACTCCTTAGCATTTGACAAATTAGATTCTTCCAACCAGATCTTGCTCAGTTACAGCTTATGCGCAGTGGGCTGTCTGCTGTTTCACTTTTGCTGCCTTTCTGAAAAAAAAAAAATTAAGCTACTTGTTGAGTTGTCAAAACTCAGACACTCTGAACAAGCGCTCCCCGTTCGATCCTTTTGCTCTTCTCATTTCTGTTGCAACCACTTCTGCGTCGACCTTTTTGCCACTTTCTGGTCCGATGGTAAATCTCGCAGTCAGATACTCGTTATTTGTATTTTGACTCGCCCTACGGGCTCATCAAAATAGGGCACAACTCGTAAAAATAGCCGGCGATACTACACAACAAAACGTCTAATAAGATTTAGTATATACTAAAACAGTGGATAGCGTTGAAGGCGCGCTCTGATTGGCTAGTCAAACTCCGAATATCCTTTGCTATTTACCTCCGAGCAACTCGGGAAAAAATGGCGTCCCTGTTTGCATCCGTGACAAGCGAAGAAATCACTCAAATCAATTTTTGGTGGTGTATATTATCTTACTGTTTTAGTACATACCAAAACAACAATTCACCTCAGTGTCGGTGGTTAGCGGTGGATATTTACCCCGCCGCTTCGCGGCTTGGTAAATATCCACCACTAACCACCTAGCCACGTCCGCTGGTATAGACTATACCGGGGATTGTGTGACACGTCCGGCTGCAACGCACGATACTAACCACCTTCACTTCGGTGAATAGTTGTTAAATATATATATATATATATATTTCTCCTACTAAAGCAGTGTACGGTTTGACTGCACCTACGCGACCCAACTGTGACGAGCATTCCAGATTCTTTAAAAACAAAACAAGATTGTTTTCTGTTAATTCCACGATCACCTCGACTGGTTGTCGACTTGTGACCCGCTACTTCTGCTGGAATGCAACATCTAGTCTTGCCTGTTCTCCAGCGATGACCGCGCGCGTCTCTGTGTTTAGGGCATACCGTCATATGCAAATGACATTTCTGTGCGATGAAAACCCCTGTTAAATTGGTAAATTAATGCTGTAGAAATGAATAGTCCGAATGTATTCATGTTGTAATCGAAAATTGTAAATCAAAATGATCTCTGTTAACCTGCCCGTGTAAGTAACGATTTCCTTTCGTTGTTGACGCTTTCAACATCCGTCAAAATGTTACAACCCTTCGAGTGAGCTGTAACATCCCTAGTACAGTCTTTCAGTTCGACAAAATCGGCCGCGTTTAGATAGTCAGAACTTGCACCACAAGCCCAGGACTGTCTAACATCACTACACGAGTACCAGAACTTACACCAAAAGCCCCCCTCCCCCCCCCAAGAAGAGAAGCAAAGCTACAGAATGACATCATTTTCTTTTCGTGCTCTGTGAAAAACCTAGCACGTGTTTACCTTTAAGAAAGAGACCATGATTGCATCACAGAGAATTGCCGTGACATAAGTCCTTTTTAACAAGTTTTACGACAGGAAAGTGGCCATTTTACGAAAAAGATAAGAGTAAAAAAAAAAGTTGGGCTGTTATCTTGAGGTCAAAAACTACACAGCAAAAGCTTTGTGTTGCGTGACTTTGTTTACTCACATAACCGTTTTTCAAGATATCCAAGATGTTTAAGAAGAAATGTCGCAGTTGCAGAAAACGTAGCTATTCAACTAAGAATAATGTCGATAATAAACACCTAATCAACCAAAATGGTGAACTATACAGCGGCCCTTATCTATAGTTAGGTGTAGGTAGTGCTGTTGAAATAGAGTCAACAATAACTGTCTTCTGCAATTCAAATTAACAGAAAATTTCGTATCTACGCATCAATTTACAGCCCTCTTCAGCAATGTCTAAAAGATTTTTTGACCATCTCTAACTATCTTGTTTACTTCGTAGCTCTCAATTACGATTTCTACAACTTGATTTGCATCATGCAAATTCCTGACCTTGGCCATAGTGCGTCGCAGATTCTTTTATTTTGCTGGCACTTTTCTGCATTGCCCAAATTTTTTATTTCATATTATTTTCGTATTAGGACCAAACTTTGTGCCAGCATGCAGTTTGACATGATTTCTCACATACCAAGACGCGTTTTGAGGGCTTGAAGTTGCTCGATTTTTCGCTTTTTGCAACAAATGTTTGAGAGTACTTTGTTACAAAACTATGTAAATTTTAAAATTAAACCAAAGCTCCTAAAAGTACGATAAATAAAAATCGAATGGATTGTATTTCGAAGTAAAAACACCCCCGATTTCTTACGAAACATCCTCCTTCAGTACTAGCACTCTAAAGTTGCTCAATTTTACTGTATTTTTTGCATAATTAATTTGGTAAAAGCCCGAATTTTCGTTTTTCTCCATTTTCTCGGAAACATTTGATTTTTCAGACTTTGAAATATTTTTTTCTAATATATCTTCCTGAAAGGGTTTTCCAGGCAGATTATCAGAATTTTCGATTTTTACAGCCTTACCAACGATTCACGATATTTACAGTCAAGGGCTCTTAAAACATCAGAGTGTTTAATTAATACACAGTAGTCATTTTATTGCAAACAAAATAAGATCTAATTCGCAACATTGTGACAATATTGTACTATTTTTAAAAGGTGTGAATGCCTGACAGATATTCAAAAAGGCACAGATCTTTGAATTGAGATTGTTAATGGGAAAAAGATAACAATGTTAGATTTTTCTGAAAATTTGGAGGTCTAAGGCAATGGAATTTACAGCAGAAGGCTACAAATACATAATAACATGTCTGACTGAAATTATGACCCAGTTTTTTGCCTTAAAACAGCTTAATAATTTTGTTGTCTTCTAGATGGTTTTTGTTTGAAAAGGTGATTGAAGCTTTGGTGGCTAAACAGGTGTATCACAGAAATCTACTACAACTCAAGCATTATGCCAGGGAGAAGTGTTTTATGAGGAATTCAGATGAGTTTGACTCCATGATAAGTTTTTACCATGGCCTTGGGATGATAATTAAGCACCGCAGTACAGTTGTACTGAAAGCTCAATGGTTGATTGATCTGTTCAAGCAGCTGATAACCATTCCACCTTTTAATAAAGTGGTAAGAAATATTTCAGTTTTCATTATATTGATAATTATGGTAAAAAAAGAAAAAAAAAATTCTAATTTTAGACTGAAATATGATTCAGAGGCTTTATTCAAGATGATTGCCAATACAATACCAGTACATGTTTTTTAATAGTAGGCAGCGGTGTCTGTTTGTATTTTGGTGACTAATTATTGTATGGTTTTGAAACTTAAAATATTGTCTATGATACACTTTTATGGATATTGTATATATTTATGTAACAGACTTAATTAATGTTATGGAAATGCAACTGTGCCAAATCATCTACTGCATGATGCCATGGCTCCCTAAGCAAAAGACAATTTTGAAGGGCCTCTTTTTTTACTTATTGATTTAACACCCTTTACCAAAATGATTTTTAAACTGATGCTCTTAAAATTCACTCAGCTGTTGTTCTTATTTATCATGTCAATCAGCCAAGAAACCATATAGTAACTATCAGAGTGGAAGGCAGCAAAGCATTCGATAACGTTTTTTATTCTGTGCCAAAAAAAATCCTTAATAGCAAAAGTACCAAGTTAGGTTAAAATGGGAATTTGTCCATCAGAGTAGTCACTTTACTATTCATTGCAGGAAAGGGTTAAGTTTTTTCTGTTCGGTGATATTCTGTTATTTCATAAGCTTGATTATCTATCCCCCATTTGGTTTTTAGTCTAGGTTGCCCTAATGTAGGTACATGCACTAAAAAAGTATTTACCTTAATTACGCACAGTCTTTGAAAGTCTTTACATATGTAACCACTCATTTTGCTTGATTTTCAAAATTTCCTCCATAAGGAATTTTCTTGCTTTGCAAATTATTTCGGAATTGGCAGATTGGAAACGCATCACCACCCGCTCGCGTTTAGGATGTTTGATAAACGCATATTAACTGTAGTAATTCAACCCGACAGTTATAATCCCCCAGGCTGCCTTGCCTCCACTGATTCTTGATTATGTGAGCAACCTTCAGTTTTCTAGAGCTAGTGCTATAATTCATGTTTTGTAGAGTCCTAAGGATGCTAAGTACTGGCAGGAATTAGAAGGAAGTGGTATCCTTAGCATGGAACACGTTGATCATGTGTTCTCCAGTTTTATTAAGCAAGGGATCATCAAAGAAGACATCTTAGACATGATGGAGCGATTTGGTTTAATCGCCAAGTTTTCAGTTTCCCCACCTGATGTGAAATATTTTGTGCCAGCTCAACTGAAGTGTCCACCTGACAAACTATTTGAAATGAAACCTTCATCAACTGATCCGTGTCCATTGTATTTCCTCTTTGTCCATGGCTTTGTTCCTCACGGTCTCTTCTTACAGCTTGTCTCGCGATCCATTCGTTGGTGTGCTAAGAAATGGCCTGTGCATCAGCCTACTTTGTACCAAAATGGAGCATGTTTCATCATTGGGAAAGATATTCATGATTTCGTCCTCATTTGCCAAACAGGATTTGTGAAGGTAATCTTGAGAGAAAAGAAGCAAAGTCATCAGGTTGTAGGACAGGACACAGCTGAACTAGCAACTGTTGTTCGTGAATTTCTTAAAGATACCCTACAGAAACTGTCGCAAGAACTTCCCTACCTGAGGGGTCTGGAGTATAGGCTGTGTGTTGCTTGTCCGTACTGTTATCAAGTGAAAGAGGAACCACTTCGAGCATGCTCAGACCACATGAAAACCGCTTGCACACACGAGGACTGCTTCCACCTCATTGATGCAAATGAAGGCAAACCGGCAATCTGTACGAGAGAACTTTGGGATGAAGTACGTACCTTCTGTGGGCTGGAAAAGTGGTTCGTTAGAAGAAAAGGCCAGGTATTACAAGTTATTTTGATTTGTTTCTGCATAATTTATGTTTCTCAAACTCCGGCTCAAATTTCCTATTGCTCTATTCAATTCTCCTCGTTTGAATCAAATGGATTGTAGTCTGTGTGGGCAACCTTAACGCGGTTGGTTTGTCTTCAATTTCAAACATAAGTCAGAAATTCGTCTCCAAGATATAATTCTATTGACTTGATGTAGTTATCTCTCTGTTATACCATGTTGATGATTTTATCATCATAAACTTTTAGGAGTGCGCCCAAAATGTTTAAGATGTAATGTTAGGTAAGTGATAGGACCTAATGTGACAACTTAATTTTGCCCAGGGGTCATGGTCTTCAAATGTCACGGCTAGATCACAATGTGAAGCAGCTGAAATTATATCACTGAAGGTGACCCTCCTGGGCAGTGAATGGAGTTCGTCAATGGGAGGCTTATCCACCATAAACAGACAACTTGCCATTCTGATGGCCAAACGCACGCAAGTGGACGTCACACTCCTAGTCCCACAGTTTGCCTGTTCCGAAGAGGACAAGAGAACTGCAAGAAGCCACAATGTTTCCATCAGAGAAGCAGAGAAACTTACAGGCTACAGTGACCCTCTTGACTGGTTGAGTTTCCCACCAAGAGACCTTGTCATTGACTTTGTACTGGGTCATGGTGCTAAACTTGGTAAACAAGCCCAAGTTATCAAAAAGTCGCACAGTTGTAAGTGGATTCAGGTAGTGCACACCGCACCTGAAGAACTTGGAATGCACAAGAACTATCCTAGGGCCATTTGTAAAGGTGAAGAGAAGAATTCAACGGAAGTGGAGTTGTGTAAGTTGGCAGATGCTGTTATAGCTGTTGGACCAAAGTTAACAGACGCTTTCGTCGCTCAGCTTCGCTCATGCAAGAGTCACGAAGACATCCTTCAACTGACTCCTGGAACTTTCTGCGAGTTTTCTGACGTAGAACAAGCCCCAAAGGAGAGTAAAAAGTTTAAGGTACTGACGTTTGGCCGTGGTGATCCAGAGGACTTTAGCCTTAAAGGCTACGATATCTCTGCCAGAGCAATAGTGGAACTGAAAGATAGATCTTACCACCTGATCTTCGTGGGTGCACCTGACGGTAAACAGGAGGAGGTTGCAACGAATTTGCTCAAGAGTGGAGTTGATAAAAACCAGCTGACAGTGAGGAAGTTCGTACAGAGTAAAGAGAGATTGAAAGATTTGTTTTGTGAAGTTGATCTCTGCATGATGCCCTCCAGAACAGAAGGTTTTGGTTTGACAGCATTAGAAGCTTTGTCTGCTGGTCTTCCCATTCTTGTCAGTGGCAACTCAGGATTTGGTGAAGCAATGTGCACTGTACCATCAGGCAAATCATTTGTGGTGGAGGGTGAGGATCCTAAGGAGTGGGCAAAGGCCATTGCTGGTGTCCGAGAGAAGGAAAGATCAGACCGACTTCATGAGATTCAGAAACTGAAGACTTCCTATGAAGAGATGTACAGCTGGGAGAAGCAGTGTGACATTCTTGTGGGGAAGATGTGGGACATAGTTCATGGTGAGAATGATTTGATTGTATTTCAAAGAGTGTTTTTGCTGGCTTTCGGTCTCTTACTAAGCGTTACGTAAGGCGGAGACTTAACGTAAGGCGGAGACTGAATAGTAATCAGTTGTTTTATCCTCTTGTTGATCGGAGTAATATTGAAAAACGGTTTCTTTCTATGTTTTTAGCTTCTAAAAGACGAGACACAATTTTCAGATCTCACGAGGCCGAAGATGTTGACACATCAACCGAACAACGAACACTTGATTCATTACTGACTCCAAGTGAGTATCAAAATATTAGTAAAACATGGTAACTGACATGCCCAAATAAGTACAGACAGGTTACAAGTAGATCCAACATTTCTCCTTTCCTTAATATCCAACTACAGGCCAGCTTGTCCTTTTGATAAAGTTTTGCACTAAGGAGACGTATGTTATTATTTATACCTCTGCTTCCTTCAGTTATAATCCAAAGACATGTAGACACAAATTTGATTTTCTTTCACTTCCGGACTGGGCGGATAGCGTGGTGTTATTTATTTCTTTCGTCAATTGAAGTTTACATCCCATTTCACCTTGAACAAACATAAATTGCCTGAAACAGGGAGACTGGGGACGTTCTTTGCTTTGTCTCAAAACAAAGTCATAGTTTGAATACTGTTCCTATCAAAACGTGTTTATGTTCTATTCAGAATGAAGTCGTTATCCGACGAAATAATGCCGAAGTAATCATATCTTAATAAGGTAGAGGAAATATTTAGGGCCAGTTAATTATACGAGGTTTAACCTTAACCGCAGTTTTACGCAAGCAGTGGGCCGCACGTATTTCTATAAGAGGTTTGTTTTCATTAGATAAATGTCCTTCCACTGCTAGCTTTCAGCCATCTCGACACTGTTCACTAAAATTAATGTTCAGATAAAAGACTCCGCTCAATTTAATATAGTTTAGAACGCGGTTTTGTTAAACAACGGCTGAACTTTGTTTAAATAACTGGCCCTATGGTTCTTTTTCCAGTTACACATATCTGTAAGAGTGTCGTAGACCGTGTCGTAAACTTTTCTTGTCTGCTTCTTCTCTCTTGATTATTAGCGTTTTCGTTCGCACATAAAAAAGTCAGTTGACTTCCAGTTTATCGTTTCCAGGCTCAGTTGTTCGACAGAACACCAATTTTTCGGTGGTTGAAGCCCTTCTTTCCTTCTTATTATCCTAGTGTTTCTTACTAGATTGGAATTGTTTTTCTCCAGCTGACGATTGTTTTGCACCTTTAATGCAGTTAGATTTATAAAAACTTTGTCTCTTCAAGGTTCTCCTGATCGAATCATCCAGAAACTTCAGCAGATGCAACTTGATGCAACCAAAGTTAAGAGCAGAACAGATCTATTATTGGGGCTGAGGAAGATTGCATCAGACAAGGGCTTCAGAATATCTGACAATCAAGGATCAGGAAATTGCATGTTCTATGCATTGTCAGAACAATTGGAAATTGTTAAAGGAATCAAAATCCCACCTGGCAAATTAAGACAAACCTTGATCCAGTACCTCAGGAGTAACCCAAAACTAGTAAGTTGATGCTAGTATGTCTTAACGGCCCATGTCACGTGCTCTTATTCTAAGGGTATGATGAAGGTTAAGTTTGTATACAGGTCAACTGTTGAACACCACTAGAGCCTATGTTAGTGTTGACAGCGTGAAGTGACCAGGAGTACTGTTACTACTCCTTTAAAGTGCACCTAAACCCAAAAATTTTTTTTCGCTTAACGAAATAAGCTTATTTTTTGGAGTATTTCTGTGCAAAAATTTTTTAATTTGCTCAAATCTTTAATTTTCTGTGCCCAGTCAAAATACGGAAAATCGGCCGCCATCTTGCCCCACGACCGAGTTTAAAGAGGAATGGCTCTAGCGGGTAATGTGACGTCAAATCGAGAACACGAAAGTCTGCATTTCACACATTTTCACTTGTTTGGGAAGGTTGTCGTCGATATTGTCCGAAATATGCCGACTAGGTGTGTTGTATGAGGAATGTATGAAGCGCGATACCCTCTTGCAAATTTCGCACGTTGCTACATCCTTCTACAACACACTTAGTCGGCATATTTTCGGACAATATCGACTACAACCTTCCCAAACAAGTGAAAATGTGTGAAATGCAGACTTTCGTGTTCTCGATTTGACGTCACATTACCCGCTAGAGCCATTCCTCTTTAAACTCGGTCGTGGGGCAAGATGGCGGCCGATTTTCCGTATTTTGACTGGGCACAGAAAATTAAAGATTTGAGCAAATTAAAAAATTTTTGCACAGAAATACTCCAAAAAATA